TTGTTACTACTAGTAAGGCACCTGTTACTACTAGCGTGGCACTTGTTGGACAGTGTTTCCCAATTGTGCGATATGACGACCTCCGTTCCATTTGAGAAGTACTAACCTTTGGTCAACGAGGCCGCGCGAAGCTGCGCCTTGACGATCATCTCCACTGGCATCAAATCTGGCCAAAAAGAGAAAACGGAACGCACTGCTTCACTTCGTCTCTTTTCAAGGCTTTTGCATGGCTTTTGCGTTGCATGTTCATTCAGCCTCTGCAACTCTTGCGTCAAGTCAAGCCAGTCGGAGATAGTTCAGAGATCAAAAGAACTCCCAGATGACCAAACATCGCCTGAAGCTTCAACCGCTTGTAACTCCAACCTAGCCGGTTGCGAAAGCATCACACTTTCCACACTTTCCGACCAAGTCTACCATTCGAGCTTGTGCACAGTTTCCTGCACTAAACGAGGCTCTCTACCAAAGCCACAGCAGCATAGCCGCATAGCTACATGTTTTCTCACAACAACATCTCAGCAAAGCCTTCGTGTCTCTTTTAAGTGACGGTAGTCAAGACGTGCAAGATGTTTCTTGCACCACCGTGTTGCAGTGTTTCGCATGTCGGGTGACCCTCTTCGCCTGTAATTCACCATTTGCAAAAATTGTCGCAAGAGCGTGGCGTCGACCAGGGTAGAATCCTGGAGTGCACCCCCCGGTCGAAACAGTTCGAAACGACCACGGGGCTCGGTCAAAAAAAAGCCAAATGACTTGCTGGGACTCTTTTTGAGGTTTTGGAGGCCACAAAAGTTCCACCTGGTCAAGTTCGAACTGACTTAACGCGGCTGACTTGGGCTTCTTTCGGCAGATTCGCTGATGAGGCATCGGTTTTGGCCATTCGAGAACGGTGGGACAGAACAGGTCTGCACCTTCTTAACAAAGACCAGGTCTGCACCAGCATGTTCTCATTCGTTTCGGAATCGAACACGACGGATGATGGTGCTTCCTTCGCTTGCAAAGCTTGCAGGAAGGCATTCAGCGAAGGTGCTCCCCGTTCCACCGCTGCGCGAAGCCTCGGATTTGGCAAAGCGGCTCAAGGGGTGAGTTCTTGAGTTCGGCAGGTCACTTGAAGCTACTAGTAACAAGTGCCACGCTAGTAGTAACAGGTGCCTTACTAGTAGTAACAAGTGCATCGCTACTAGTAACAAGTGCCTTACTACTAGAAACCATAAGAATTAAAGTAAAATTAAATTACTAATAGCTTCTTAGTTACTACTAGTAAGGCACTTGTTGCTACTAGCGAGGCACTTGTTACTAGTAACAAAAAACGCCTCTTCCGATGTTTCGAACACATCGGCCTTTCAGTCGGAGCCACTGGATTCAAACGCTCTGAGGTTGGAGGCCAAATTACTTTTTTACCAGCAAGGATGCATCTTTTGGGAGCCCATCGCTAGAGAAAGAATGCTTGAGCACAGCATATGAGCTCGAGGGTGAGACGGACCATGAGACTTGGACTCGGTGTCCGGGCGTGTAGATTTGATAAAAGGCGTCGACCGTTGCATCCATGTGCCTGGCGCGACATGTTCCTAGTAGCTTCTTGCTCCTAGTAGTAAGGCCAGGAGCCCCTAATAGCGTCCTTGCTCCTAGGAGCGATGCCAGGAGCCCCTAGTAGCGTCCTTGCTCCTAGTAGTAAGGCCATGTGCAAGGCGCGACATGTGGATCAACAAATGCGCTGTCAGTGCTGTCAGTGCTGTCGCAAGTCGCCAGAGTGACCAACCAAAAGCGACGTGGTGGGTGGCATTGGGATGCGAAATTTCTGCAATTTTCTGCCTTGGGATTTCGCTACTTGGAACAAGTGCATCGCTACTAGTAACAAGTGCCTTACTGGTAGTAACAAGAAGCTAGTAGAAACAAGAAGCTAGCTGATGACGAAAAAGAAGAAACAAGAAGTTCGAAAGTGCAGGTATTGCATGCAACACCCTGAGCCATTGCATTGCAAGCTTCTGAGAACTGAACAACTGTGGAGGGTCCACCCCAGAAAAGAATGAATGAAAACAATAGCAACTACTAGTAAGGCACTTGTTGCTAGTAGCGATGCACTTGTTTCTAATAGCTTCTTGTTACTACTAGTAAGGCACTTGTTACTAGCAGCTTCCGCACATGTTTTGGCCCTGTTGGTACACCGATGGCGTCAAAGGCAACAGTCTGTCTTCGGGCATGGATCGTACAGCAGAAAGCTTCCAAGGACTTCCAAGAACTTCAAACAAGTTTTCCAAGAACAAGTAGCGTCCTTGTTCCTAGTAGCTTCTTGCTCCTAGTAGCGAGGCCAGGAGCCCCTAGTAGCTTCCAAGGGCTTCGAAGTTCCAAGTTCCTTGCAGTTGTAGAAGAACTTCAAACAAGTCCTCACATTCCTGCGGACTAGAGCTGAGAGACGGAAAAGACGCTACAAAGCAACCGGAGCCTACATCAGCCGGGGAACCAGACATCTAAAAGAACGTGTTTGTATTTACCAGTAGCAAGAAGCTACTGGCCTCCAACCTAATAGCGATGGCCTCCACCTACTAGCTTCTTGCTACTAGTAGGCAATAAAAGTGAACCGGAACCGTGGGAAGTGTACAGCCACGCACAGCCATGCGCAGCCATGTGCCACTCCTCAGGGGAAAAAAGCGGCTCACCCTGGCGCAGTGACAAGGGAAAAAGAGAAAGCCTCCAACCGTTCGTAGCGTCCTTGTTCCTACTAGTAAGGCACTTGTTACTAGTAGCGATGCACTTGTTCCTAGTAGTAGGGCCAGGAGCCCCTAGTAGCGTCCTCTTGCTCCTAGTAGCGATGCCCTTTGCTTCTGGTAGCTTCTTGCTCCTAGTAATAGGGCCAGGAGCCCCTAGTAGCGTCCTAAAAGAGAAAAGGTCTTAAGAGAAATCGCTTCGTCTCGTTGGAGAGTAGGTTGCTAGGCCATCGCTTCGTCTCGTGAAACGCGGCACCTGGCTCTGGCAGCCTGAGACGACCGGAAGCTCGGAACGAGACCCGTTCTCGACGAACGTCTTCCGGCAACAAGTCCGGAACAAGAAAGAAACGACAAGAGAAAGAGAAAGGAAGGATCTGAAAACCAAAATCGAGTGAAAAAAAAGGCAAAAGCGAAAGAAATGTAAGGAAACAAGAAGCTACTAGGAGCAAAGGGCGCTGCTAGGAACAAAAAGAAAACCAGAAAATTCAGCGGCTCTCCGTCGCCTAGACCCTCCATTTCGAAGAGTCGTGGAGCACGGAGGCGCCTAAAACAGTCCAACTTCGATCGAGAAAACACGAGTGAGGAAAGCTGGTTCGCGTCATGTCCGCATCTGCCAAACGCACGAACTTCGGTGCGACGCGCATTTTTTGGGACGCGCAAATAGCTAGTAGCTTCTCTTTGTAGCGATGGCCTCCAACCTAAGAGCGATGGCTTCTAGCTACTAGTAGCGTCCGAAAGATAAAGAAAGTGATCAGAAAAGCCAGTGTTCCAAAGCGCAACGAAGTTCTGCAGCTTCGGGTTCCTGGCTTTCGCAGCTCTGCAACAAAGTCCGCACGGCCTCACGGCGAGACTTAAAAGGGCCACCGTTCGGGTGTCTTGCTCCGTTCGAGTCGCGATGCCCATTGCTCCTAGTAAGGCCAGGAGCCCCTAGTAGCATCCTTGCTACTAGATGCCCTTTGTTACTAGGGCGTCTTGGCCATCGCAAAAGAGAAACCAGGAAGAAGAAAAGGAAGAAAATGAACCAATACTAGTAGCCTCCGATGGCTCCTAGTAGCGATGTCCTTGGTACTAGTAGTAGTAAGGCCAGGAGCTAAGTGCGTAGCGTCCTTGCTCAAGACAAGGCTCCCAGTGATCAATAACCTACCTGCACAGCAGCGCTTTCAGACGGTCCACCCGCCTAGTGCTTCTGGAAGATTGGCCAAGGGGTGCCTGAGTCGCCGAAGCCATTCACCTTTCGGCCTACGACAGGTCGGAAGTTCCTCAAACCTTCCCTCAAGCTGATATCCCAAATGAACACGGCCATGAATTGACCGGTTGACGAAGCTCCAAAGCGCAGCATCCAAAATCCTCCAGGTCCCCGGCCATGGATTTTTGAAAAGGATGGGCCTCGTCTCAAATCCGGCTATCCTAAACGCCGGAAACGGAAACTATTCCTTTCGGTGACCCAGCCACGCTTCTGAATCTGCCTGTCAGTATGTAACTTCGTGTAGACACATGTGGCTTTGAGGGGGTTCAGGTGCTTCCGAAAAACCATAGTGTGTCTGAAACATGGTTTCAGAAACATATATAATTGTCCGAAACATACTAAACATGTTCCAGAACATAGGCAGTTTCCACCAAAGTTCCAGACATATGTGTGGTTTCCAAAGACATCCCTACTCCCCGTAATATTGTTTCAGAACCGTTTCAGAAACCGACTGCCATATTATGCTCTTGGGTTTATGCACATGTGACGATGAAGAGATGAGCCATGCCACGAACAACCTCACGTACGTCTTTCTGCGGCGGCACTCTATAGGCTCTGTCACAACGCCCTGGCCTTACTACTAGGAACAAGGACGCTACTAGGGGCTCCTGGCATCGCTACTAGGAGCGATCGGACGCTACTAGGGAACAAGGACGCTACTCCCAGAGAGTTCGACCACAAAGAGTTGCCCCGTGTCCGCGCCTGGTGGGGCCGGCACTTTGTGCCTCAGAAACGGTAGCGCGGCCGAATTCTTCCAAAATGCACATCATGTGATGTTATGATGTTTCATGATGTTTCCATGTTCGTTCTGGTGTCCTCCCTTTTTCCTTACTAGGGGCATTTCGGGCATCGCTACGAACGGAGCGATCGGACGCTACTAGCATATAGAAAGATCTAATGTGTTGTTTCCGTCCGTTTTTCCTCTCTCGACTCTAGGCCTTTGGCTACTAGAAACAAGTGCCTTACTAGTAGTAACAAGAAGCTATTAGCTTATTGTTTCTACTAGCTTCTTGTTACTACTAGTAAGGCACTTGTTACTACTAGCGAGGCATCCATGGTCCGTTTTTCCTCTCTCGACTCTAGGCCTTTCGATAGACCCTTGTCTTCGATCCTCACGCCCATCCAGCTGAGCTCGTGGCCTGAAAGGATCGCAGCGTAGGCGAGCGCGTCACACTCAGAAGCGGGAGCGGAAGCGGAAGACTCAAAGGAAGAAGAAAGGAACCTAAGAGACTTTTAGGAATGGTCTCCAACCTACTAGCGTCCGATCGCTCCTAGAAGTGTTTGTTACTAGTCTTGCTCCTAGTAGTAAGGCCAGGAGCCCCTAGTAGCGTCCGATAGCTCCTAGAAGCGATGCCCTTTGTCCTCCAGAACCCAAAGGTCGAAAGGGTCTGACTCGAAGGAAGGCAACGGCCCTTTGGACCACAATGGAAGAAAGGCAGAAGGCAAATGAAACGGTAGGGCACAATGAGACCAATTGGACTACCCTACCTAGTTACAAGATCCTCTTTACAAGCCGCCAGGATGCGCAAAAGGAACCACAGAAGAAGCTAGACTGATGTGGATCTTTCTCTTGTTCCTTCTCTCTTTCGCTGCCTTTTAAAAATCAAAATCCTTTAGACTCTAGACCGAGACCAAGGACACGGCGATGAGAGGCCTCAGCCCTTCCTTCTCTTTCACCCTTTCTGCTATGAGCAAGAATGCTTGAAACGTTTGACCTAAACAGCCTTCCCACGCTGCGAGGAGCAAACGGCATCGCTACTAGGAGCGATAGATACTAGGGGCGCTCCTGGCCTTACTAGTAGCAAACGAGCTACTAGTAGCTTCTTGTTACTACTAGTAAGGCACCTGCTACTACTAGCGTGGCACTTGTTTCTAGTAGCGATGCACTAGCTACTAGTAGCGATGTTCGGGTTCCTAGTAGCGATGCCAGCTACGTTCGTAGCATTCCCACTTCGTCTCGGGGCACCCACATGCGGCTCGGCGTTGGAGACCTCAAAATCGAAGCATTTTGGAGAGAGGTCTCTGGGCCATTTCTGTGTGTGTTTCAATGTTCGCTACCAGGAACAAGTGCATCGCTTCTAGTAACAAGTGCCTTACTACTAGGAACAAGAAGCTAGCAGAAACAATAAGTCTTGTTTTTTTTCGTCAAAAAAAACCTCTCCTATTTTTGGGCTACCAGGTAGGCTACGGTCCTTCGTAGCTACCTTCGGTCTCTTCACCCGGAAACCAACGACTTCTCGGCGCCGAAAACGGGGCTTTTCGAGGAGCGGCTTCGAGGACGGAAAGAGAGCCTCGCTTTCAGCGGAATAAGAAAGGTGAAGGAACATCCTCTGATTTAAAAAAAACAATATACAAATAGATAAATATATATATATATTATGTTCTTTTCATAATTCTCTTGTTTTCGTGTTAAAACCGGGGACCGCTACCGCGCTGAGGGAGAGCAGACACGTCTGGGGCTTGACCTCGGAATGAAGCAAGTGGATACAAGGCTGAAGCCTACAGAACTCAAGAAAAAAGCCGCACAATGGATATCGAGATTCAAGTGGGGTGAGTACGGCTCTACTGAACTAAATGGGTCTTCACACTGTGAGCTGGACTTGCGAACACGACCTCTCACCTTGATTGAGCACTTACCTTGAGCTGAAACTTGACTACGCAGTAGTTGAGTTCACGAGAAAAAGGGAACATGTTACTCTTAATCTGAAATAATGTGAATGGCGTTCTGCGGTCAAGTCAGTGAATAACTCTACTCTTTGAACTCTTCAGACTGTCTCTCCATTGTCAGATTCACTCCTAAGCTGGTTCATCTGCTCTGCAATTTGAAGTGCCCATGCAATTGCAGATTCATCTCTGGCCCCCGGCGAACCCTGCGGAGATCGTCCTTGGTAGCAAACTCAAAAGCATCTCACATGAAACCTACTAGCGGCCTCCAACCTGCTTCTAGCTACTAGTAGCTTCTTGTTACTAGTAGCGATGGCCTCCAAGAATTGTCTCTCTATGCTCTGTCGCTCTTGAATGCCAGAAACACGTGGAAAGACCCTGCGTCTGACGCTGGGGCAGCCCACGCGGAGAGCGATCTCGAACAGCACTCCTGAACGCAGGAGATACTCTTTCTTTACCTCTAGCGCCCTTGCTCCTCGTAGCGATGCCAGGAGCCCCTCGTAGCGTCGTTCCTACTAGTCTTGCTTCTCTTTCGCTCCAAAAGGGATCTTGGAATCACGACGCCGACGCCGACGACACTGTTTTTGTGGTCTCCACACCTGCCGCGTGGACTCCTGGCTTCACCTCGCTCGAGCTGCGCTTGGCTTCGCAGTGCGACCGGACCGGAGCCGGCTTTACACGACCTTTTCGCCAAACCGACAAAAGAAACATCGCTGCTACGTCGGTACTACTGGACTGAAGATACGTTCGACGATACTTTTCCTTTTCATCTCTCCTTCGCTATTAGGTTGGAGGCCATCACTAGTAGGTTACCCTTCATTTTGATCTCTTCTTTTCTTTTCCTCTCTGAACGCTTCGCTCCGCTGTGCGGCAGCACTGCTTTCCGCCAAGAAGTCCTCCCTGATGCGGTCGAAGAGATCCTGCGCTGCCCAGCTTGCGTCGGTTTCACGGCCCTAGGGCCATACCATGGCACATTCATGACATGTACGGGCCATCGCAAGTAGGTTGGAGGCCATTGCTATTAGTAAGGCCAGGAGCCCCGATCGTACTACTAGTAAGGCACTTGTTACTAGAAGCGATGCACTTGTTCCTAGTAGCGTCCGATCGCTCCTAGGCTAGAAGAAAAACAAGTTCGCGTCCCGCAGCGAAGTGGTTCGATTCGTCCGCGGTCTTGGCCGTTTGACCCGAAGTCTTTGCGTGTCACGGGTGGCTCGTTGTTGGCCGATTGGCTCAACTCGTTTCTGCTCGTTTTCTGCTTCTTTCCTGCTCGATCTCCACTGTCCATCCTTGCAACTGATTCCTTGGCGCAGACTGTACCGCTGTTGTGATGCTTGTCGCTAAGACTCCAAATTCCTTCAACCCCAGACGTGTTCTCGACAAGAGATAAAGCAAGGAATGTGAAAAGAAAAACCGCAAAAGAACGAAACATCAAAGAAAGAACGAAACTGTTCTTGACGTGCAACAGATTTGCTCTTCGCATTGAGGACCCCCGCGTCTTGACGAATTCACAGCCTTGACGGCAAGGTCCAAACTTGCAAAAACAAAAACAAAACATCAATGGACATCCATTAACTTGCAAAGGTCCTTTTGGAAAAGACATGCAAGTTACAAAAGCAACGCCTTTTGAAAGAGAAACTTGCATGCGCACACGTCATTTAACCACCAGTAGAGGCCACACGGGGCAAAGACAAGACTCTTAGGAAGTGAGACCTTTAGGAATGGCCTCCAACCTGCATCCGATCGCTCCGTTCGTAGCGATGGCCTTTGTTCCGTTCGTAGCGATGGCCTTTGCTCCTAGTAGTAAGGCCAGGAGCCCCGAACGTAGCGTCAGAAGCGATGGCCTCCAACTCAAGAAAAAGCTCAGATGCGAAAAGGAAGCTCTTGGAGTGACGTGAGATGACTTCTACAGTGCTCAGGTGCAGTGCGGTGAGGTTGATCTGGAGTGAGATAGTTTCAAGTGATGTTGCTTGTTTGTTGGAAGTCTCCACTTCTCTTAGACAAAACTTGAGAGGAGGGAGACACGAAAGGTAGGACAGCGGGAAGAGAAGAGAACGCGAGTGGCATACTTCGAGCCACAGCAGCGGTCTCCAAGCCCGCATCGTTTTTGGTGTGTGATCTCGGTCTCCATGCCTGTATTTCGTTTTGGTGTGTGGAAACCCATCTCGTTCTCGAGAGGTCTTCCTACCTCGTTTCACAAGCTAAACATGTCATTAACCAAACCATTGCAAACAAATGGCGCATTTGATGCCCATCTCGTTTTCGGGGTGTTCCTACCTCGTTTCGCCAACTAACTCTGACATTGGGCTATAGAAAAGGAACGCCCCTAGACCAATCACCACTACCGCAAATAGAAGCCGTTGCTCATATGCTCTCGAAATGTTCAGAAAGGTTCTTAGGGAAACAACCTCGCCCCATGGCTCAGATCATCGGTGAGCAGAGAATCGGAGCATCATAGGGTTTAAACTGTTCTGAAACCAGAAGAGACTCACGAAGACGTTCCCCAAAAGAGAATAGACGTGGTTCACAAAACAAACTCTAGGTATGTATCCCCTCGGGGAACACCTGTCGTGATTAGAATTTCATATGCACTCTGTCTGAATGTTCAAGAGGGTTGCAACTATCCTGAAATCATGAGAGGCTCGCGAAGACGTGCTCCAGGAGAGAATTGAATTAAGAGGCCCCAGGAGAGACGAAGACGGTCTCCAGGAGAGAATGGTATTTTAACGAGAACACATTTCGTAATTCGAATTTCATATGCACTCTTTCTGAATGTTCAAGAGGGCAAGAGGGTTTCAACTATCCTGAAATCATGAGAGGCTCACGAAGACGTTCTCCAGCGGAGAATTGAATTTAGAGGGGGGGCGGGGGGGCCTGTATTGAAAAATCAATTCTAAGGGGGGGGGGGGTCTGTTGTTAAAAAATAAAAGGAGGGGGGGGGGGTTGAATTGAATGATCAATTATTAGACCCGGACTCGCCGACACTTGCTTCGCAAGTCAAACTCAAGGTATCCCCTAAAGGGCTACCTTTCGTGAAAAAAGAAAAGCGTGGCACTTGTTTCTAATAGCTTCTTGTTACTACTAGTAAGGCACCTGTTACTACTAGCGATGCACTTGTTTCTAATAGCGTCCTTGCTCCTAGCACAAATGCTTAGACTTCCCGGAAAGCAATGTCTGTGCGATCATTCGCTGTAAAAAGTGCCAAGTCCCGCAGGTACTCAGGTGGTTGTGAAGAATTTGGCGATTGCTTGCCTGGTTGGCTGATTGGAACCGCTAACTTGCGCGTTCCTGCTGCGGGGTGAAGGCCATTTTCTCTTTGCTTTTCTTTTTTGACCATTAAACCTAATAGCAATGGCCTCCAACCTAATAGCAAAAGGAACCTAAAAGCGATGGCCTCCTACCTAGAGGCGATGGCCTCCCCCCTAATAGCGCTCTACTTTCACCGTTAAAGCTCCCTTTCCTATCTTTAACCTCGAACTCTCCAGAAACGCTGTGTTCGATACGTTTCTCTTCTCCAAAGTTTTAGAAACCTCTGATGTTCCATTCTCCAAAAACGCGCTCTTTCTACCTTATTCTCGACCTTTCCGGTCATGCCTGCTTAGCTACATGATTTGGTTTGCTCAGTGATGAGGGTTCCAATCCGTGGTTTCTGTGTCGTACTTTTTCTATCTCACTACTCAGGATGGTTTTGCTTGAGGAACGCGACTCGGGCTGGAGAGGACTCAAGATTTCGTAGAGATTCGTAGACAAAGGTTCAGACAGAAAGGTGGTTCCAGATAACGCATCACCACATGTTTTCCTCGCACCACATTCACCACCCACATTGCACGTCAGAAAAAATCGCTTGCGATGTCTCCAGAGTCGCCAAATCATCCCACATGTTCCTTCACCGAAATCCGCATGACACGTCACCCCGACATCTTCCGGTAGGTTCATTCGAATGCCTCACCTCTCGTTGAAGGTCCACCCGTATGGGACATGGTCTCCTCTCCAAGGAACTGGAATCCACGGGCACATTGTCCCAGGAAGGCGCTGCAAAGACGAAGTCATAGAGGAGCTGGCATTGGCATTCGTTGTGAGGCCAATTCATAAATCCTTGAATAAATGCCTGGTCCTTGAATTCATACATCCTTGAATTGTGATTTGGATGAAGAAGTGATGAGGCATATATACAAATATAATTCCTTGAATCCTGATCTTAAGTTGATGCTCTGTAAGTGCTTTCAAACTCTTGCTCAAGATGAGTAGGTTTCTACTGTCTGGGCCATTGCACGGAAAACTCTCTTCGAATGCGTAAAAAGATGCAGAATCCCTAGTAGTAGCGATGCACTTGTTACTATTTGTTACTAGCGATGCCCTTTTGCTACTAGTGGCTTCTTGTTACTAGTAGAAATGGCCTCCGACCTAATAGCGATGGCTTCCAACCTAGTAGCTTCTTGTTCCTAGTAGCTATTAGGCCCATTGCTAAGAAAATTCAGAATCCCAAAGTGGAAGGCGAACATCTTCCTCAATCGCCAGGACCTCCAAGTGCCGCAGCGCTTTCACCAAAGAAACGATTAATTCACTATCTTGAGTCTTTTTCATGAACTATTTGGTTTTTGTGTGTCTTTCTTTCTTTTACTTTTTCCAAAGTCAATAAATGAACATCGGCCTTCCGCAAGCGGCGCCATTCCGCGCAGAAATAGAGGTGCCCAGGCATGGCATGGCTCAAGTTGGAATGCTCGGCTCAAACAAAGATTGTGTTTTTTCGTTGGAGGCCGCTACTCGGGTGGAGGCCATCACGGTTGAAATCCTGAAGTTCTTCGAAACGAAAGAAAGCGGAAAGAGGTCGAACGAAAGAAAGGGATAAAAAGACATGTCATGTCAAAAGAACTATATCACTATGTCAGGTCTATTCCCTCTTGTTTCTCACTCTGAATCGAGCTCGTTCTCTTTCTGACTGTTCTCTGACTGTTTCTTTCGTACTCGTACGCCTTCTTAGTCGACCTCCGATTTCGATCTGTCTGCCTTCCTGTGCCTTTGTTTAAGCACAAAACGCTCACGTTTCTTCGGGTTGCAACCTCTTCTCGTGACGTCTTTTTGCAACCTCTTTCGCAGCCACCTTTTGGCCAAGTCCGTGAAACACCTTTTCGCTCTGCAATCGTTCCAACCATGACGCCGAATTCGTAGCGTCCGATCGCGCCGTTCGAGTCGCGATGCCTCAGGAGCCCATACAGTAGTAGCGAGGGCCTCCAAGTGGTTCTTTTCTTTCTTTTCTTCTGCTCTTTCGTTTTTGTTCGCTTTTCTCGCTTTCTGCGCGTGAGCCTTTCGAGCTGCCAGTGAGACAAGGAGTTTTGTGGCACCCGACCAAGCCCCGTTCGGCACTCGTGTTAGCGGAGCCAAAACAACTTGCATCTCATGATATGAAAGAATCCTGAACGTGGGCAAAACATTAATTCATCTGGTTTTCTTTAAGCGTTAGACTTCAAAACAACCTCTCTGGGCGCTTTCAAAAAGCCTCATCCTCTCATTTCAGCCTCTGATCTTGTTCCTGGGCGAAGTCATGATCACTTCAAAGTGTTTTTCCCCGCTGTTTCAAGCCAAGGATCTTTTTCGCGTCCTTGGCGGCTAAAAGCCATGCGAAAAAAAAAGCTTGGAACACTTCTGCAGAAAACAAAAAGAGAAAAAGGAGAAAAGAAAACACTGAGACAAGAGAGAAAAAAAACTAGTAGCGATGGCCTCCAACCTAGTAGCGGCAAAAAAAGAAGACCCTAAAGGGAAGATCGGAGAACTGCAGCGTGAACTTTAAAGACCGTCGGTTTCTCCACAAATCAACCTGTTTCTGGCTGAGCAGCTGATCGCTTTTCCATTTGGGGATAGTCCTGGAAGCAACATTAGAACATCAACAACATCGTTTCACTCCTCAAAAACTGCAGATCACCTAAAAGCACAGCTCGTGCTCGTGTTTGTACGCCTCGCATGACAAACAAAAAAGTAGACACATTGATTCTCCGGGTTGATTCTCCACGCTAGTAGCGGGGGCCTCCACCTTACTAGCGATGGCCTCCGCCTCCGACCTACTAGCAATGGCCTCCAACCTAGTAGCTTCTTGTTCCTAGTAGCTTCTTGTTACTACTAGTAAGGCACTTGTTACTACTAGCGATGCACTTGTTCCTAGTAGCTTATTGTTACTAGTAAGGCCAGGAGCCCCTAGTAGCGTCCTTGCTCCTAGTAGCGATGCCAGGAGCCCCGTTCGTAGCGAGGTCTCGACTCGTTTGACGCTCGTCTCGACAGTCAGTACCGTCCTGTGGTCGAGCACCAATTGGCATAGAGCGAGCACCCGGAACTGCAAATGGTTTCTTCGCAAAGAAACAAAGGTTTCCTACTCAAATTGCCTACGAACGAATTGCTAGCAGGTTGGAGGCCATCCCTAGTAGGTTGGAAGCCATTGCTACTAGGTTGGAGGCCAGTTTGTTTTGCCTACTTTGCATAAAGTCGCCTACTATCTTCGCGCGAGGAACACTTTGAGATCGCCTCGCCGTGGTGGCCCTGGGTGGGCTGAGCCAACAGGGCCCCTGGCAGATTCTGTGAGGCGACTCGGAACAAGGACGCTACGAACGGGGCTCCTGGCATCGCTACGAACTGTATCAAGGACGCTACTAGGGGCTCCTGGCCTTACTACAAGAGTTTTCTCATGTCATCTCATTTCATCTCATTGAACCCTTGGTGGAAGCTTCGGTTTGTGGATGTTTTCCTCTTAGCCTCTCTCCAGAACCTCTTCTTGTCTTTTCTTTTTGCGTTCCCATTTCTAAACATGAAGATCATGGTGGACTTCTGATTCGATGCACGCAGTTGCGAGCATACTGTTACTGTGGACTCATGCCAAATGCATGCCTTTTCAATGCTCTTCAAAAAACATATGTATGTATATATTTGTATATTTAAATAGTTTTTACAGTATTTAGATTAAGAAGCATTGTGTCCAGTGCGGAATGGTACCTTCAGGGACCCTCTATCAAATGTGTATGTTCTAAAAAAGAACGGAAAAGAAAGGAACAACATCGCTTCTAGTAACAAGTGCATCGCTTCTAGTAACAAGTGCCACGCTAGTAGTAACAGGTGCCTTACTCCTAGTAACAATAAGAATTTAAGGAACAACATCTGCGACTAATTCCGCGAAGGCACGGGGATGGAGTCCATCCTGCACGCGTCCGAATCCGCACGTGTTCGCTTTGTTCTTTGGAGCAAATGTCCGAATTGAATCAGAAACGGCAAACGGACGGTCCTCCATTCTCGTTGCTATCTTCTCGCGCTTTGCCTTTTTCTCCACTCTTTCCCCACTTTTCTCCTTTTCCTCCCTTTCCTTTTCCTCCCTTTGCTCCCTTCCCCTTTCTATCCTCTTCATAGTCGTAGCCACCAGCTTTTCCTCGCCATCCCTTCCACTCACGACTATCACTATCGCCTTTCAAGGCCTCTTGTCGCCGCTCAAGGCCTTTCCTTTCGCTTTCGCCTCATCGCTAGTAGGTTGCAGGCCATCACTATGAGGCCATCACTAGCAGGTTGGCCATTACAAGTAGGTTGGTTCGGGCCTTTCTCCTTGCCTTTCGCTTTTGGACCTTTTCCTTGACGGCCAAGGCCTCACAGTGCTCAGACCATCTTGTGACTCCAGATCGAAACGGTCATCTCGCATGCTTTCAACACGAAAAAGTAAAAATTGAGAAAAGATTGTTTAAACACAAAGAAAAAAAACAAAAAGGTAGGAAAGTAAGGAACAAATGTCGGGCGCTGCTGATGTGGTCGGTTGATGCTCTGCTTTGCCCCTCTGATGCTCTATGCCCCCGACCCGGTGGCGGTCGGCGCTCACCTCACACTGCCGCTACGCCGCAGCAAGATCGGGTACGGGGGTAACAGGGGTGGTAGAGGAGTAGGAGTAGTAGTAGTAGTAGTCGTAGTAGTAGTAGTAGTGGTAATACTAGTACTAGTAGTATAAGTAGTGAGTAGTGAGTAATGATGAGCAGTAGTCGTACTAGTAGTAGTAGTAGTAATAGTAGTAGTAGTAGTTGTAGTAAAAATAGTAAACATAGTACTAATATTAGTGCTATAACTAGGGGTGGTACTAGTGGTAGCAGTAGTAACAGCGGTAGCAGTAGTAGCAGTAGCAGAAGCAGTACCAGTAGCAGTAGTCGTAGTGGTAGTGATGGTGCTGGTGGTGGTGGTGGTGGTAGTAGTAGTGGTGGTGGTGGTACTGGTGGTGGTAGCAGCAGCAGCAGCAGTAGTAGTAGTAGTAGTAATAGTAGTAGTTAGTAGTTAGTAGTTAGAGTTAGTAGTTATAGTAGTAGTTGTAGTAGTAGTAGTAATAATAGTAATAGTAGCAGTAGTAGTAGTAGTAGTAGAAGAGTAGTAGTAGTTGTTGTTGCTGTTGTTGTGGTAGTAGCAGTGGTAGTAGTAGTAGTAGTGGTAGTAGTAGTAGTAGAGTAGTAGTAGTAGTAGTAGTAGTAGTAGTAGTAGTAGTCGTAGTGGTAGTCGTAGTCGCAGTAGTAGTAGTAGTAGTCGTCGTCGTCGTAGTAGTGGTAGTGGTAGTTGTAGTGGTAGTGAGTAGTAGCAGTGGCAGTAGTGGTGCAAGGCCGATCTGGTCTCAAGAATGGCAGGTCCGCGCTTGAGAACTTCTTACAAACAAGAACTTCTTTCACAAGGCGCAAAAAGAAACGCTTGGTACACTCGGTTCCTCACCAGGATGCAGCATTCTCACCTCATCCGAAGATGCAAAATATCCATCAAAAGACAGCTTCGACTAGATAAGCCCCAAAAAAGCCCCAACAGCTGGGCATGAATTTGCTGATTTGGTAACGGCAACATTTGGCATCTGTTGATAAGCTTGCGAATGGGCAAGTTTCTTAACAAGTGGCGTACCACAGCTTTCAAGCATGGCATGGCCTAATGATCGATTTTGCGCATCTCAACACAACAGCGTGTTAGCATGTTAGCGTGACCCGTGCCAGTATGACAATATCTCAGCACAACAGCCTGACAACATGCCAGCGTTACACCACGCCGGCATATCAGCGTAACAATGACAGTCATGCACGAGAACATGTCTATACACGTATGCGCGACAGCACTCTACATGCACAACACACCAACATGGCACCGTGTCGTCAGCTTGTCGGAGTGGCAACACCTCAGCGTCAGATATTATAGCATGATAGCAGGTTAGTAGAAGCCACCAGGTAGTCTGATGGCATGTCAACATGTCAGCAAGCATGATAAAAGGCCTGCATCATGACGTGTGAGCAACATACATCATCATATATCTGCAAGGCGCTCCAGAACTTGGGGCAAGCTGGTCCCAGTCTCCGGCACCTCCTCCGCAAGCTGCTCTGGAACCCTGCTCCGGAACCTGCTCCGGAGCTTGCTCCAATCTGCTCCGAAGTCTATTCTACGGCTGAAGACCCTAAAGCTTCGCTGTTGGGGAAAAACTAGCAAGCTATCGGGAACATGGATGCTTGGGAAGCCTGTTTTTTCGTTGAAACGCCTGATTGCATCCCTCACAGTCGCTCAGTTCATCACGCTCCATCCTCTTGAGACAGGCCTGGAGGGAAACGAAGTCGTAACGAAGTGGGAGAAACTTGCAAGCACGCGAGCGCTCTTAGGTTGGAGGCCATCGCTATTAGTATCTCAGAAGATTGTTCTTTAAGAAACTTGCACGATTAAGTTGCACTTTCGTTTTCTCCATTTTCTGAGCACCAG